CGGAGCGCCGCGGAGCTGGCCGCGGGCCCTGTCCGTGGTGCTGCCGCCAGCGCTCGTGGGATCCCAGCCCAGCCCCTTGCGTGGATCTCGAGCCACAGGGAAACGCACCTTAAAATCCGCGTGAGCTCGCTGCCTCTGCCCACCTTCAGCTTCCTTCCCGCTGGCAGATCCAAGCCAACAGGCGCCAAGCGGCTGGCAGCCCGCGGCATCCTGTTGCACTGAGTACAAAGTGAAGAGGGGAGAAGGAGCGTTTTCCGAAAGAGCCTCTGCCTGGCTTGAGAATCCCTCCTCGCTCAGAACAATGGCTGCACTGCCAAGGCTGGTCCGAGTGTCTTCAGTCGTGTTGGTGGTCTGGGGTAGGTGCTTCCGTTCCATGTTGTGTTCAGCCAGGTTCTCCCCCCAGATCTGCTGCTTGCTGCTCGTACGATGCTTCTGTAAAGCACTGCTTTTCCTAGCAAGGGTCCTTTAACAGTGTCTCGAAGCCCAGCTCTAGAAATGGCTTTTAATTTTGTTTGCAAGTGGAGAAGGAAATGACATTCATACACAGTTAATATGAGTGTAATGGAGTTAATATGAACAGAGAAAATACATTACTGCTAAGTGGCCCTGTGGCAGAAAGTGTGTGCTTTCGTATGCATGCAAGTTCTTTAGTGATTCCTGTTCGTCGTCGTTTTGAAATTTGCAATGTAATTTAACATTTAGTTGCCTCAGAGAGGTTGTGCAAACCTTTATGCAGTGCATATTAATGCTAGTTTTCCTTGCAGTCTGTATAAACTGGAGGAGATGATTTTATTGCAATTTCAGTGTTTCTAACAAAATCAAGAAAAGGTTTGTTAGTTTTGCACATACAGCTACGTCTTATATGCATACATACTTACAGCTCTGTGTGTGTACGTGTACATATTTAACTGGAATAAAGCATGTTCCAGTGGTTTCGTTATTCCTCCTAGGAAGCGAGTGCTACCCACGGACTGGTAGTACGGGAGAATTGGAATCTGGCTATTGCCAGCCTGGGTTCCAGGATAATACAGTAGTTAAGAGTGTGGGTTAATGGTACCTCAGAGGCTGGGGAGGAGGGAGCAGCTAGCAAAGTCAGCATCCTCCGAGGGAGCTAAACTCTAAGCTGTGGAGGCAGGTTTGGACAGATGTAACCCAGTATTGCTTAGCCCAGGGGACCAATGTCAGCAGGGATTTCATCTGAGATGTTGTGGTGATGCATTTAGTTTCGTAAGAAGCATTTAACCTCACAGACTACGATTTTGGTCGTGTTTGGGAGGCCACTGTTTCATAGTTGTCAGTGTTAGCATTGATCTGATCAAAAGCGTTTTGAACAGGAATGCATGTAAAATCAATAACTCCCCTAGCTGCCATATTTGCTAGAGGCTGAGCGCCTTGGTTCCTTAAATACTCTTCATGAAACCAAGAAGCAGGAAGGGCGGTGAATCCTAACAATTTGTTTTGAGCACTCTGCCAGCCTAAAACATCCAGCCCTTTTAACTTAGCGCAGAGGCAGAGCTGCTCGTGTGCTTCAATTCTAGGCTCTCTCTGATAGGAGACTCAGTAGTTGCTGTAACAGGAGCATGCTCAGTATGTGTGTGAGAGAACGAACAATGCCTCTAAAGTAGCATTAATTACTATGGAAAAAATTAAAGTTGTGGCAAAGCAGATGCTGCAGAGGTGAATCTGCATAAAGTGATCACAGTCTGTTAATTATTATGAATTATTTATATCTCAGAGAAGGAAGCTTGGTAAAAATTGATATTTGAGACTTGTCTGTTGTCAGAGGGTGCTTAGTAATGAATCAAATGGTTTTTCCATTGGGGACGATGTGATTGCAAATGCTGACCTGTGGATAACTGATTTCTCTCTATTTCTGTCTTGCACTTTTCCTCACTTTTTCTCTGCTGCTCCTTTTTCCCAGCTGGTTTTTGTTCTGCCGTATGTGTTGAAGTTCCCTCAGAGACAGAGGCTGTCCAAGGGAAACACATGAAGCTACTCTGCATATCTTGCATGAAGAGGGAAGAGGTCACAGCCAGCACCGTGGTGGAGTGGTTCTACAGGCCTGAGGGTGGAAAAGATGAACCTGTACGTAAGTTGGGTAGCTGAGTTCTCGCTTTCGCAGGTATTATTGTGTCACATGGTCTAGTGAACTTCTGTGGAAGAAGCCAAAAGGTATTATCAGGATACAGCTTTGTCTTACCACAGGATCCCTGATGAAGGCTACGTGAAGAAGAGAGACCCAAATGTGGGGAAAAAAAGCTTTCTGACACATTTTGATTCAAAGAGTATAGAAATACCTAGCAGGCTGCTTTCGTATCCTGGAGGAAAGGAGCTCTTCTGATTCTGAGTTCAGCAACATGCTGCAGGTCTTCACAATTTCTGCAGCATTTTTCACCCAGAGGTTCCACAGCACCGTTTTTTTTACAGTAACTAAAACATCTTTCCTTTGCTTAGCTGATTGGCTAAGCACTTGGGCACAGCACGCGGCCATGAAGCAAGCTAGCATTTCTTTAGCCAGGGGAATTGGACCAGATGATCCCCAGAGGTCCCTTCTGAGGCCAACTATTCTGTGATTCCTTACAGGAAGAGCTAGAGCCCATTGTTGAGTTCAAGGGTTTGGGGTTGTATGTAATATGAGTTCCTTTCATTGAATAGGTGTAGGGGCTTAAGAAGGAAAACAGAAGTATGGAATGACTC